GGCAAGTCATAATCGAACCAAATTTCTATTTCAACTCATTTTAATATATCCGATTTCAACCCAAACCACCCATTTGAGACCTTACTAATAATTAATAAATAATGACGATAGGAAAAAGACCTGAGGGATGGTTTTTCGCCTAGTGGTTGCGATGTGGGTGAGGATTGGGCAACGCATGACGGCATGGGAACCCCAAGGGCCACCGTTGGCTCCCAATGGAGAGTACCCACTTACATGAACACCTTTTTCTCTACAAAACTCGAGAAGTTTTTGTTGCTGCCATGCCACATTCATTTCTACCTGAAAATGGAAGAAAAAATTAACTATCATGTCTTATTTACACACTCAGTCATGAAATTTTTACATTATTATCTATCGGTGCATTTAATGTTTACTTTTTGTAACAATGCAATTTGAAATAAAGAATTATAATTTGTGATATGATAGTGTAAAAAATTGCAGTTAATTAAACTTTTTCAATTTCATACATTATTTTTTTTTTTCTGATGACAAGGAAAATTCGCAATCGCTATTCTTTGGGTGCGCATAGGGTAAAACCCGCACCTTGACTTTTGGCTTTTAGTTCTTTTTGCTGCAGCTGTTTAGCTATATTCGTCTCATTTTCTTAGTCTCCATCAGGAAATAAAGCTCTAGAGTTCAAGGCTTCCTTGATTGGTACTACTAGTTTGTCCATCTACTAGGTGAGACTACTCCTACATATTTGGTGCTACGCCCCTATTATCGCGTCCTCGAGACTTAACTAAGGCACATCCCTTCATTGCTTAGGGTTTGGTTCGGCTTCTGCCGGTCAAAATAAAATACTAGGCTGGGGCTTTCTTTTTTGCGGTTTCCAATATTGCAATGGCAAGCAAAGAGAGGATTTCCCCCTTTCGGGTATAGGCTTTCCCGAGTGATTGGACAAAATTTAGACTACCAGAGTTAGATATCCTTGGTATTGTCCCTACTGAGAAAGATTCGGATTTTCCAGAGAGTGTTTTTCTAGTGTGGTGTAACCAACAACTCAAGGCTATCAAGGGAAGGAGTTGCAGGACCGGAGTTCTATCTCGGATCTATAGAGTGACCCTTCTATGCAATAACTCACAAACCACACAAGAGAGGTAACCTGCACTAGACAAGTCCGGTGCAACGAGCTTGACCCAGAAGGCAAAACTCCTTTGCTTTCTACTGGCAAGGGATTTCGAACTTGAGACCTCCAACATGAAAGTCCCAATCTCAAACCACTGAACCACCCGAAGAATTCTACACATTATCTTGCATGACAACATAGAATATAATACCATAAATTAACTTAATTACCTGATTTACTGCAGGAGGAATGGTAGCAATTTGGAGGAGGTGTGAGACTTTGGTGCAACTGAAATTGCTGACTCCAATAGACTTGGCTAGGCCCAACTTGCAGCACTCTTCCATGGTTTGCCATACCCCTTTCATATCAAAAGGGACAATATCTTCCTTTTTGAAATTTTGGATATCAATCTCAGGCTTCATGCTTATCGGCCAATGTATTAGATACAAGTCCACGAAATCTAGTCCCAACTTTCTACATTATATATTCTAAGGTTAAAATCACAAACTAATATATTAAGAGTACTTTGGGAAGTTCAAAGGTAAATAAAGGGAGGGCTAAGAACGAAGTTGGATTCAGGATTTTTAATTTACAGAATTTGGACCACAATTTTTTTTCCTTATATATTTGGATATTGATTTTATTGTTTATACTTATTAAACTAAAATTTTAGCACAAATATAAAGTTTAAAACAAAATTATTGAATTTTGCCTAATTCGTAAATACTATTATGACTCCACCCCTGACTAACATAACCTAGTTACAATTTGAAAACTAAGCTGCAATACTAGACATCTCATAGTGTGACTCAGACATTGTAATATTACACACTAAAAACAAAAAAACTTCAATGACTCTAAACAATATAAATTTGATCTTTATGAAATTTGAATCTTAGAAAAGATCAAGTTACTGAATTTTTAATAAATAATTTATATAAATAAATTGACAAATGATATTAATTTTTTTATTTTTTTAAAAAAAGGCAAATTGTAATATAATTAGTGAGTACCCAAGTGTGTTTTTGAGGGCAGGGAGGACAAGTTGAGGGTGCGCCTGAGTGCAGCATAATTTAGAGGTAATGAACATTTGTTGACGACTCTTTATAATGCCCCGCTCTATTGCTTCAGCCACTGCTCTCCCAGTTCCCTCCTCCGATCCATACGAGGCCGCCGTGTCGAAATGGCGGTAACCGATCTTAATAGCGTCAACCAAAATGGACGTTAACTCATCTATCGGCGGCATAGGAAAGTTGAAAGTTCCCATGCCTAATAAAGGCATTTTGTAGCCTGAATTCAGCACCACTTCCGGTACATGCACTACTTTCTCCATCTACAAAAGATAAAAGGAGTATAATGTAGCAAAATGCTGAAAAAGATAAATCTAATTTTAGAAAGATATAAATATCTTACTAATATGATTGTTGATAAGTTTCCAAAATGTATTACTCCTTCTGACGGAGAGCGTTTCAAGCAGATTAGTAAGTCCAGAGATTTAAAAAAAAGTGATAAAGTTGAAAACGCTGTAACACGAGAATATATTATACGTAATTTTTGGATTAATTATATTTTAAGTAAAATTAAGCTTGTTTATGTTACTCGATTTCATTAAGTTGACTGATAAATCTTCTTCTTCTTTTATACTCACTCCGTCCACAATTGTTTGTCAGGGTAAGGTCATGCACATCCCTCAAAGAAAATTTAATACAAGGTGCAATTTAACTAATATAACCCTACTATACCAAGAATACCAAAAGTCCACATAACTTTTCAATTGAACTACACTATCATTAAGGGCAGAATTGGGAAAAAAGTGATTAATTATTTCTTGATTGTTTAAATTGACAATTAATTTTGGACATCTATTTTTAGTATACTTGCCAAACAATTGTGGACGGAGGGAGTATTTCTCGAAGCAAGGAACGAAGGAAACGCGCCCCAAAAAGCTTCAGATCTAGTCAGTCTAAACACTACTTTATATCTTATTTTTCTGCAATTCCATGAAACTAGACCATATGTCATTTATTTATTGAAAATTTATTTATAAATAAATATATGACTTTTGAAAATATTTATATCATGTAGCCCAATATATAAAATTACTGTACAATAGTATATATAGGGGGAAATCATTATATATAAAGTCTCAACCTTATATAAAAATGTATAATATGAATTAAATTGTGCGTTTGCGCGGAGACGTAGTAACATAAATTTTTTCAAAAATTAACATAGAACGTAATTTTCCTTTATTTTAATGCCACGAGACATTTTTATAAGTCAACTTAATGATACAACGGAAAGAAAATTAAAAAAATACATGAACAAACCAACACATTAACTGAAAAAAAATTAACACATAAAACTTATAATTATGAAAGGCAGAAATTAACTAAAAGAATATGACATGCGTAATTGCAGAAAGGTGAGCAATATGCTTATCTATAATTCAATCACTAATTAATTAATTATACTTTGCAATATAGAAATTCCTCATAATCGGTTCACTAACCAGGATATAATGGATCTCTACACCTCTGTCCAAAATTGTTGTTTTTTGTGTTTATAAACAAGCAGATGTGAAGTCAGGATTAAGGGTGTGTTTGGTATGAAGGAAAATGTTTTTCTAGAAAATGTTTTCTTGGAAAACAAGTACATTTTTGACTTATTTTCTCATGTTTGGTTGGTGAGTAAAAAATATTTTCCAGAAAAGATTTTTTAGTGTTTGATTTATGAATAAAAATTATTTTTGAGAAAATATCTTTTATTCTAGAGAGTAGAAAATAATTTTTGAATTGAAATTGAAATTTTTTTTAAAAAATAAACTTAAATTTTTTTTGGGGGGGGGGAGGCGGGGGGAGGGGGGGTAAG